AGTACAACTTGATAAAGTTTAGGTAAAAAATAAAGGAAAATAAACCTTATGTTCAAACACAAAATAACCCGCTAAAATGATGAAAAATTTCCAAATATTTACGTTCAAATCGTTATTTCTTGAAAAATATTTGAAGTTAAGGCAAGTTTTGTGCATAAAAAGATTCAGTGTGATATTATCTATCAGGAAAATATAAATTTATATAGTTTAGTTGAGAAATAAAGTTTTTTATACTACATTTGGTGCGCAGAGGTAAAAAACAACGTATTCACAGCTACACGCAAACAGCCTGGACTTCAACAGAAATCTACGAAAACCTATTTTCTTTAATATAGCACATATCGACTTGATTTTTTTTTTAAATCTTCAGAACGGCATTCTTACTCATATTTTACCGTTGGAAAATTTTTATCAACCCTAAGACCGCAAAATGTGGTGAAAATTACGATATTTTGGTTGGTCATAAAAAATAATTTTTCGTAGTAATTAAAAAAATAAAATAAATATAGTACAATGACAAAAATCATAAGGATTTGTTTGTCATAAAATGGTCTATCAGAAAAATATAATTTCATACAATTTGGGTAAAAATTAAAGGATAAATAGACTTATGTTCAAAAAAGAAACCACTGTAAATACGATATTTTGGATTATCACAATATACATTTTTTCGAAGTTATTTAGGATAAAAAATATCTATCGTACTATGACAAAAGTTATATTTCCTTAATCGTCATGACCTGGTCTATCAGAAAAGTACAACTTGATAAAGTTTAGGTAAAAAATAAAGGAAAATAAACCTTATGTTCAAACACAAAATAACCCGCTAAAATGATGAAAAATTTCCAAATATTTACGTTCAAATCATTATTTCTTGAAAAATATTTGAAGTTAAGGTAAGTTTAGTAGATATAATGATTCAGCGTGATATAATCTATCAGAAAAATATAAATTTATATAGTTTAGTTGAGAAATACAGTTTTTTATACTACATTTGGTGCGCAGACTTAAAAAACAACGTATTCACAGCTATGTGTAAGCAGCCTGGACTTAAACGAAAATCTGTGAAAACCTATTTTCTTTAATATAGCACATATCGACTTGATTTTTTTTTTTAAATCTTCAGAACGGTATTCTTACTCATATTTTACCGTTGGAAAATTTTTATCAACACTAAGACCGAAATTATAGGGTGAAAATGACGTCATTTTGGTTGGTCATAAAAAATATTTTTTCATAATAATTAAAAAAATAAAATAACTATAGTACTATGACAAAAATCATATTTATTTATTCGTCATAAAATGGTCTATCAGAAAAATATAATTTCATAAAATTTGGTTAAAAATTAAAGGGTAAATAGACTTATGTTCAAAAAAGAAACCACTGTAATTACGATATTTTGGATTATCACAATATACATTTTTTCGAAGTAATTTAGGAAAAAAATATCTATAGTACTATGACAAAAATTATATTTTCTTAATCGTCATGACCTGGTCTATCAGAAAAGTACAACTTGATAAAGTTCAGGTAAAAAATAAAGGAAAATAAACCTTATGTTCAAACACAAAATAACCAGCTAAAATGATGAAAAATTTCCAAATATTTACGTTCAAATCATTATTTCTTGAAAAATATTTGAAGTTAAGGTAAGTTTAGTAGATATAATGATTCAGCGTGATATTATCTATCAGAAAAATATAAATTTATATAGTTTAGTTGAGAAATACAGTTTTTTATACTACATTTGGTGCGCAGAGGTAAAAAACAACGTATTCACAGCTACACGCAAACAGCCTGGACTTCAACAGAAATCTACGAAAACCTATTTTCTTTAATATAGCACATATCGACTTGATTTTTTTTTTTAAATGTTTAGAACGGTATTCTTACTCATATTTTACCGTTGGAAAATTTTTATCAACCCTAACACCGAAATAATGGGGTGAAAATTACGATATTTTGGTTGGTCATAAAAAATATTTTTTCATAATAATTAAAAAAATAAAATAACTATAGTACTATGACAAAAATCATATTTATTTATTCGTCATAAAATGGTCTATCAGAAAAATATAATTTCATAAAATTTGGTTAAAAATTAAAGGGTAAATAGACTTATGTTCAAAAAAGAAACCACTGTAATTACGATATTTTGGATTATCACAATATACATTTTTTCGAAGTAATTTAGGATAAAAAATATCTATCGTACTATGACAAAAGTTATATTTCCTTAATCGTCATGACCTGGTCTATCAGAAAAGTACAACTTGATAAAGTTTAGGTAAAAAATAAAGGAAAATAAACCTTATGTTCAAACACAAAATAACCCGCTAAAATGATGAAAAATTTCCAAATATTTACGTTCAAATCGTTATTTCTTGAAAAATATTTGAAGTTAAGGCAAGTTTTGTGCATAAAAAGATTCAGTGTGATATTATCTATCAGGAAAATATAAATTTATATAGTTTAGTTGAGAAATAAAGTTTTTTATACTACATTTGGTGCGCAGAGGTAAAAAACAACGTATTCACAGCTACACGCAAACAGCCTGGACTTCAACAGAAATCTACGAAAACCTATTTTCTTTAATATAGCACATATCGACTTGATTTTTTTTTTAAATCTTCAGAACGGCATTCTTACTCATATTTTACCGTTGGAAAATTTTTATCAACCCTAAGACCGCAAAATGTGGTGAAAATTACGATATTTTGGTTGGTCATAAAAAATAATTTTTCGTAGTAATTAAAAAAATAAAATAAATATAGTACAATGACAAAAATCATAAGGATTTGTTTGTCATAAAATGGTCTATCAGAAAAATATAATTTCATACAATTTGGGTAAAAATTAAAGGATAAATAGACTTATGTTCAAAAAAGAAACCACTGTAAATACGATATTTTGGATTATCACAATATACATTTTTTCGAAGTTATTTAGGATAAAAAATATCTATCGTACTATGACAAAAGTTATATTTCCTTAATCGTCATGACCTGGTCTATCAGAAAAGTACAACTTGATAAAGTTTAGGTAAAAAATAAAGGAAAATAAACCTTATGTTCAAACACAAAATAACCCGCTAAAATGATGAAAAATTTCCAAATATTTACGTTCAAATCATTATTTCTTGAAAAATATTTGAAGTTAAGGTAAGTTTAGTAGATATAATGATTCAGCGTGATATAATCTATCAGAAAAATATAAATTTATATAGTTTAGTTGAGAAATACAGTTTTTTATACTACATTTGGTGCGCAGACTTAAAAAACAACGTATTCACAGCTATGTGTAAGCAGCCTGGACTTAAACGAAAATCTGTGAAAACCTATTTTCTTTAATATAGCACATATCGACTTGATTTTTTTTTTTAAATCTTCAGAACGGTATTCTTACTCATATTTTACCGTTGGAAAATTTTTATCAACACTAAGACCGAAATTATAGGGTGAAAATGACGTCATTTTGGTTGGTCATAAAAAATATTTTTTCATAATAATTAAAAAAATAAAATAACTATAGTACTATGACAAAAATCATAAGTATTTATTCGTCATAAAATGGTCTATCAGGAAAATATAATTTCATAAAATTTGGGTAAAAATTAAAGGGTAAATAGACTTATGTTCAAAAAAGAAACCACTGTAATTACGATATTTTGGATTATCACAATATACATTTTTTCGAAGTAATTTAGGATAAAAAATATCTATCGTACTATGACAAAAGTTATATTTTCTTAATCATCATGACCTGGTCTATCAGAAAAGTACAACTTGATAAAGTTTAGGTAAAAAATAAAGGAAAATAAATCTTATGTTCAAACACAAAATAACCCTCTAAAACGATGGGACCGGTAAGATGAGGGTTAATATGGACCGCTAAGCCAGGGCGATGAGACAGGTAAGATTTTTTTTTTAATATTACGAAAGGGTGGTATTAGGTTTTTTTTTTCTGATTTTTAAAAAATATTTTAGATTATTATACTACTACAAATAGGGGAAAGCGTATACACGTAGAAAATACGAAAACAGAGAAAAATTAAAAAAAAAATACGAATGCAGGTAGTTCAGGAGGCAGGGTTCGTTGAGATAAGTTCTTCGCATAATAGGATCGTAGTAAATTATTTCGCAATGTATTAAATATTCGAGATTATATTACTTTTCTCGCATCAATTAAATTAGATTTAAAAAAACTTAGGAAAAAAAATAATTAATGGTTAAAATGGGTGGTTGCCATTTAAAAAAAAAAGTGATACTGTGCATACGCAAGTCTAATTAAGTTGAAACAATTCAAAGGTCGTAAAAATGTGTACTTATGTCATAACAACCTCAACTAAAAATCAGTATTAAAATTTCAGGGCTCTACGCAAAGATATGGAGTGTTCTCAATTAGCTTTTACACACATTACATATATATATATATATATATATATAATACAATACTAAAATATTGCTATATACCATAATAATTTAATATATATTATATATTATTTACAATCATTATTTACTCTTGCCAGCACTCAGCAGCTGCTGTTGTGTCAATAATATTATAACCACTACGGTCAGTGTACCCCAAATGAGCACACTTATTATAACTACAAATATACAGAGTGCAGACAGTAGGTATAACTAACTTCAAAAAAGGTGGGTAAGTGGAACGGATACGGTCAGTATATAATGTTACTATATAAGTATTTATATAAAACATTCAAGAATATTATTGTGATTAAAGTAGTTCATTTTAATACCGTCTGGTTTGTCAGAGTAGGATATTTTATATAATATTTCTATTGTTGTAATTATATTAATTAAGCCGGTTAGCTGAATTAATATTATTTGCATATTATTATGTTTCAATAATTATTGTAAATAATAAGATGGTGTAAAATTTAAATTCAATGATCGTTGTCGTTACTTAAAAACGAAGAAGTACCTACTAATATGTCGACTTTAACCGAAAATATTCCACTGAGAATAGGACGCAAAATGAATATCATCAAGGAGGTGACAAGGAAAAATGAAAAAAAACTAGATAACGAACTTCCGTCCCAGGACAATTTTGACGACACTCCAATACCGTCGATGTCGTCCGAAGAGGAGGTTAAGGATCATCCACTGAAGACCGACGCCGATTCGATGGTCAAAACTCATCTTCGGTCAAATGGCGGTCAACATAAGTCTTCCTTCCAACCACTGCCTTCGTCGCCGACCGCGCTGCCTCGCACATTGAAGTGTGACCCGTCTCCTAATGTTGTCTGTACCATCGACGTCGAGGCCGCCAACGAGGTCTGTCAGATGTCATCGGACGATGTCAAACAGGACGTTATAGGCACACAAGTACACAACCACAGCTAATGGAACCGGAAGATCCACAGATACAACGAGAGTAGCCGCTGTCTACCGACGTCACTTCCAAGGAAAATAAGCGTCCATTAGAATTTGCCAGCGAAGATGAGGCGGAGTTCAATGGATACTGTGAAGGCTGCCTCAGTACACCATCAGGTTCTGTGATTTTCTTTCGTTTGTTTGAAGTCACCATTATCATGTAATATTATAATCAGTATATTAAGTAAATAGAATATATAAATAAAAATTTCAAATAAAAAATGTCATTAGGTCTTTACATGAAATATTATTATGGAAAATACAACTATTAGCCATTAGTATGTATAAAAACTAGTATAGAGGATCCCCAGAAACAGTATAGGCTATGCTATCCCATAATATTCTAAAACTGGGCTTTTTAAACTTGATTTTCTAATATAATATTAATATCAAAAAAAAGTTTCCTTAACAGGGCGTTGTATACGCAGTGGTTACCGTCTAACTAACCAATAAATACATTTAACAATAAATGATTTTGTACTTAATAGTTAATAGTAAGTAACCTATGTAACATAGCCTGCTATAGTGCGTTTCACGAAATAAGAGACTCGATTCCAGAGCGACCGGCGGACAAAAATCGGTAGGGCTTCTCAACATGTGCACTACAATGCGCGCGAAAATTGTACAGCAGCTGTGTGCTCAGACAGCATTGCAGCTGCAGTTTAATGGTTCAGATTGCAGCTGCTGCTATTGTATTCTTCACCGTTTTATACACCACTGGATATTTTGATAACAAAATGATACCAGATTAATGATAATATTATTGACGTGTACAGTGTACACCACATCACACGTGTTTATTTTGTACTTTGATATCATTGTGATTCACATTAATTAACGTACTATTGTAAATATTGTTGTTCCGTTATCGTTTTTATTTCACTGATTGCCATTAGCCCGCGGATATTCAAAAATACGGTGTTTATTCTTTTAATAATGGTACGTGTTGATATTCACTCGCAAACAAAAGACACAATTTTTAAGGTTTATAATTATTTTAAAAAATTGTCGAAAGACCAAACGAACCCCGAAGTTGCAAAATATTTTAGCCTACCTCAATCAGTTACTGCGGAAGCATGTGGAGTCAGCCTTAGTTCCGTAAAAAGAATAACGAGTGAAGGTAATAAATCGATCGCCAATGCAGAACCAGAGGCCGGCCCTTCAAATCCATCATTTACTTCTCCACGTAAACAATATAAGCGAGTCAAATATGCAACGGACATTGACGACTTTGATGCGGATATTGTTCGTAGAACTATCCATGAGTTCTACGACAATCTTGAGTATCCTACATCAACTAAATTGCTGAGTAAGTACCAAGAAAAAACTGACTATAAGGGATCCAAAACTTCTATGTGGCGAATTTTAAAGTCGTTACATTTCAAATATAAGAAATGTAACGATGGTAGAAAATTTCTTATGGAAAGAAATGACATAGTTGCAATGCGCGTAAAATTTTTGAGAACTATGTGTAATTGACGTCAAAATAATGACACTCGCCCTGTCGTTTATCTGGACGAGACCTGGGTTAATCAAAACCATACTCGCGGGTACATATGGCAGAACGAAAAAAATTCTGAAGGGTTGAAGGTGCCTACTGGAAAAGGGAGTCGTTTGATTATCTGCCATGCCGGGTCAAGTTCATTTGGATTTGTAGCAGGTTCAAAATTAGTGTTCCGTTGTCAATCTGGTACAAATGTAGACTACCATACCCAAATGAATTCGTCAATATTTAAAGAATGGTTCATTAAAATGTTGAACCATTTGGAAGAACCATCCATTATCGTTATGGACAACGCGTCATACCACTCCACTTTAACAGTAAGTTACTTGAAGTCAAACGCGAGAAAAGCGGATATCCAACAGTGGTTATCCGATAAAAGTATCGATTTTTCTCCACTTGAAACTCTGAGTGAGTTACGTGAACGGGTAAAAGCTGCAATGCCCAAAGAAAAGGAGTATGAACTCGATGGCATTGCATTACAAATGGGACATTCGGTTGTACGATTGCCACCATACCACTGTCAGTATAATCCCATCGAGCTCATATGGGCTCAAATCAAAAATAAGGTTGCCGAATTGAACACCACATTTAAAATTGCCGATGTCGAAAAACTTGTAAACGAAGTCATAGACTCGGTTACGGTCGAAGATTGGAAGCGTTGTGTCAAGCACTGCGAAGAATTGCAAGAATCAGATTTCATAAAAGAAGGTTTACGTGACGAAATTTTAGAACCAATAATAATAACAATAAATCCCGATGAAACCAGCGACAGTGAAGATGACGACGAAGACTTTTAATTATTTTTACTTAACTAATTTTTTTTTAATTGTTATAACCCTTGTATTTTTTTTTATAAATATTTTTCAACCTAATAACAAGGAATAAAATTTTAATTGTTATTTGATACTTATTTGTGTTAATTAATTATTCATAGTAGTTTTATTATTTATTGAGGTTATGAATAATATGTATATAAAATTATATGATATAAATATATAACATATTGCTAAATAATATATTTTTTCACAAATAAAAATATTAAATAATAATGCACGTAATAATAATAATTGTTATTACGTGCATATTAAAATGTACGTATAATTTCAAATTTACCGCGCAAATGAAAAGTTTGATCGACACTGAAATTCAAAAGTTTGTCCACCGGTAGCGCTGGAATCGAGTCTCTTATTTCGTGAAACGCACTATAGTACCTGGGAACCTTTAATAATTGATAAATGTAATAATATAGTCGTCCATATCAGTAATACTAACTATAAGTAATACTGCATTATGTATTTTTAATGAATAATTATGTTTTATTAATTAAAATTTGTATTTTTTAATATTTTTTTATTATCTATGTTAAAGCGTTGGTATTTATTCAATATTTTAATTTTCAAGAGAGATATGAGCATTTTTATTTCTTGATATTTCACATAAGTACCCATATCGTGAACATAAAACATTGCTCTGTTAACTTGCGGCGGCCAGTTTTACTATAGATTTAGAGTATGATGATTCAACGGAGTTTTGTGGAAAAACTAAAAAAAATGAAATCGACTTATTGGTATAAAAATCCAATTCTTGAAATGCTCTTATATTTTGATTTAATTCAGTTATTAATTTCCTTAACTCATCTGTGCATCCTTTTGTTACTATTGATTCATGACAAATCATTTTGAGGTGACTAGACACTAAGATCTGTAGATTATCGTACGTAGGCGATTTTTTTTCTCGTAAGAATTTTAATTTTTGTAATTAATAGTTTTACGTTTTTATTTACAATTGTTAATCTTTTATTGAACAGGCCGAATATGGAGAACAGCAATGGAAATGTACGCAAAGGGAAACCGGTGACGTTTAACCAGGATACTCAAGTATTCGTCTTTGATTCGCAGTCCAACGATATCGGCGACTCAAATCGGATGACCAGATATCCTGTTAGGCGAACGCGTCAGACGGTACGAGTGTACGACCAGAGTGTGGCGTGGCGCTCGATCCCGCTACATCCCAGGTCGCCCGCACTGCCACCGAGGAACCCAGTTCAGGTCAACCCTGCCGGGCCGAAACCGTCGCCACAGACCAAAAATGAATCGTCGGTTGTCACCAATGTCCGTGAAAAGGTACTTAAAAGTGTCGTTAGTGCGGTCTTCAGCAGCTACGAAATCCGCTCCATCCACGTCCTACACACCATCCACGGGCCATCCGTGGACGACGACGATGACAACGACCGCGAAGACAGCCCCGGACGTTTAACAGGTTGTTTTCTGTTTATCATCAGTTGCTCTCGTGCTTCACGTAAATGTGTGATAATTATTTTGCTTGTTTTCGATTTTATTTCGCCAGTCACGTTACCTAGTTGGTAATTTTAATGTTAAGTTAAGAGAACGCCACATCCGCACATTTTGTTGTCTTACACACGTACGGCATAGACAGATTACGAATCGCTCAGTTTTGGTTCTTGAGTAGAAATACCTATTTTAAAATTAAAATATGACAATATTTCAAAGATCACTCTCAATGTAATATTATTTTTTTTAATGTCCATTTCAATATTTTGATAAGCAGTACGTATAGACTTATAGGTACTTAACAACAAAAAACAATTTACACCGAAATCTGATAATATAAACTCCATATATTGTGTCGCGTAATGTCAACGCATCTGCCGAGTACCTACAAAGGTGGTTCACGTGTAGGTACAGGTATAATTCGTCAAATGGATGTGAACCTTATTATCATATTGAACCATATATGAACTGGAATACTTGAAGTAGACAAGTGATTGGTTGTTTTTCAATTACAAATCTTTATTAAGTACGTTAAAAGAAATAAATTCCAAATGTTTGATACCTGGAGCAAGGGCTAAGTGCTGTGGACTTCTACATTCACTTAAAACCTTATTTAGGTATTGTTTATTTATTACTTAAATTTAATGTATGTTCATCTTTACAAGCTTTGAACTTAGAACTTTTTACTACTGTTTCACCTATACATACCTAAGATCTTCATTAACCTCATTAAGAGTACGTAATTAAACTGATTAGATAAAAGCTGGTTGTTTCGCTGGGTTATGCCATTGATAAGGTTTTTAGTCGTCACAATATCGTGGTCAGGTGAACAACGTGGTTTCGTTATCGAGCCGTTTTTCAATGTGTGACTGCGACACAGAGAGCATTTCGCACTCGATTTGGTTTAAATCCGAACGAAAGTGTCCCTGATTGGAGACGATATTTAAGTGGGTACAGAATTTAAGAACAACATTATCTGTAATGCTTAAAAACCAGTTAGACGTCCCAAGTCCACGAGAACACCTGAGAACATTGACGCAGTAGGAACATCGATAGAGCAGTCTCCATTGCGTTCTCCTCAAAAACATGCTTCTGCTTCTGAACATCAGATTGAACGGTAAGGCGAATTTTGCATTGTGATCTTAAATTACATCCGTACACTATTATGGTAACTC